TATATTATTTGCTGTTTGGCACGTTTTAGAGGCCCCACCCGTACAACCCCTCCTACCACCATTCCCGTAAGAGAGGTGGACGGGGGAAAAAGTTTTCTTCACTGTTGCGACACTGTATTCGCGCCGAAACCATGATTCAAATAGCTCCCGGCTCACGCGATTGTCACCTTTTGCGAAAATTTCGGCCTCTCAATTTGCGGCCCATTCGACGAGATCCGACCGCACATTCAAATTCGAGGAGGTCGAAAATTTGATGATGTGTTCGAGCAGGAATCCGAAACGCCAGGCTAATAAAGCTACTGTCCCAGCGATCGTGTCTTTCTCTTCAAAGTCCCGACATTGTTACATATAAAAGACTGGTTCAAGTGGACGGTCGAAAAAAGCGGACGCATCGGTTCAAAGAAAGTCTCTGTAGCAAGCTTTCAGGGCAGGATTTATTAGTACCAAAAAACAGCGCGACGACTCATCAGCTGCGCCCTTTCGCTTCGTAAAATAAATAACAAGTGCGATGAATGCAGCAATTCAAATTCATGCAGAAAATTAACGCAGAAACTCCAATGTCATGGTTTTGGGTAATGTCAGCTAATCAATAATCTAGTACCTTGAAAACAATATGGGATAAATAGTGGGAAAAACGTTAACAAGCAAAAAGAAGAAAGGGGAATGTGAAAACCGTTGAGCTGGGGTTACCAAGGCAATGTTAGACCAACCACATTTTCTAGATGCTTGCAAATATCTGGTTTTACTTGTCGTATATAAGCCGCCTATAGTGAACAAAATGTCCGAGTTGTTCGTACCCGAACAAGTATGCGAAAGGAAGTTTCAGGGTCTACGGAGTGATCACTATCAAGGTAGTGTTTCCCAACGGAGGAACGCGACATTTTGTTTCCTTGCTCTAGAGGCGATCTGGGCAAATGCTCAACAGACCTGGCTGCCAACTACCTTTGCGGTCGCCCGAAGTGCTTGCATCCGCAAATGCATGTGGATTTATAAACACAATTTGGGCTAGCGTGCATTGGCAGAGCATCCTTCGCCCGTGGAATTGGAAGAGGCTTAGTAGAACTGCAACTGATAAGCCGTCGTGCCATTTTTTGGCACCAATAAATCCCGTCTTGCACGCTTGTTTTAGCTCCATACCGGGGAAGAATTACTTCGAACTAATGTACATTTTGGAAAAGCCTAAAAACCCCAGTAAATCTCTTTCCAAGTAGTTGTCCGTTTTTATCTTATTTGACAAAAGAACCGAGTACAGGCAAAACACAGCAACAATCTGATCAAATTCGATGTACTCCTGACAGCTTTCGAGTATGTGATTAGATCGAAAATACAGATTTGGGCCTACAAATATTAAAGCAACTCGTCGCAGCAAGTTTATCTTGGGTGTAATTCTACAGGCCATTTGGTCTATTGTGTATATGGCAGGGCCGACCGGCGACAGACACCTTGATTTAAAAATGCGCATGATCGGTATTAAAATATACCTTTTAGGGAGTGGGATGGATGACTTTTGCTTTAGAGGCAATGCTTTTTGCCTTCACAATACGGAACAATCGACGAAGTTACACAGATTCGCCCCATTCGTGTAGTTTTGTTTCGCGAACAGCGTTACTTATTTTATAAGGGTAGCGCTTATGTTTAAGTTTAATTTGTGTTCCTCTTTCACTCGAGGACTGCCGTCTGTACGTGGTTTGAGGGCCCACACTAAATTATTAACGAGCAGCTCCAGAAACTTCTCCTTCGAATTTCGTCTAAATGTAAATGAAAACAAAAGAATAATTTAGTTAATTGTCTCCGATTACAAATATTTGAAATTCCTAGACAAATGAGGAGAATTAAGATTCGTTTTTTGTTTCTCAAAACTTAGGAAACATTGGGAGACAGGCTACAGCAGTCGTACATGCGTCTGTCTTCCTTATTTCCCAACAAGATGACATTATCTTAACATATTAAGAGCAACACTTCCCAATACTATGAGAGGTACTGAGAAAACAAAAGCCGGTGGGAGGTTTTGCCGGTAAAGGCAGAAAACCTAGAATCGTAACTCCCGATTTAGTGTTCATTATTAGCCGGCCACGCAAAACCCAGATCGGGAGAACTGACAATTAATTCTGGTCATGTCACATTATGAGCACTGAGAAAAATGTTTCACTACTGAGGATCTGGAATATCCAACTTTACGTGTCGATAAATATATGTGGTATATATGCCATGCGCCTCAATTCAAAACGTAAAAAAGCAGTCTACCTAGCCTGATCGGTGAGCGTCCATCCATCATGATTGATATTTCCAGTCCCAACCGACAGAACAAAGGGCCCGTGATTCATTTCGTCTGACGACGGGTTGGTGTCACCAATTCGAAAATTCACGAGTATAACTCGATTTTTTCCGAAGAACCTCTGCCTTTTTTATTATATCGTCTCGGAATGCCTACCACTTCTACTCCACAACATATATTTGGGCGTCAAACGCTAATTCTTACGAGACGTTGGGAGAACTTTGCACAGAGACAAGCGACGACGTTCGAACAATTGACCTTTCTCCACCGTTTTCGCTATCACGGCGTGTTACCGAAGTCTCTTCGTTTCAAACCAACGCTGTCGAATGAGACTGGGACATCCCTTGCGTACAAATAAGGATGGCGCGCTATGCGGGTCTATCATATCTGACGTCCACAATCGACTTCGCAGATTCGGAGCAATTCTTGCTGACCTTAAAAATCAGTGTGCTTCAGCCTTATCTGAAAACGTACTCGAGGAGGTGCAACAACGAATTAATGTCACAGCCAAGGATGCGAGACTGAGGAAGAGAGTTGACCTCCAGATGGAATTCCAGTCCCTGCTCCGTCCCATGAATGAAAGAAGCATGGGCACGAGAGTTGTTAACATCTCGAAAAGGCATCTCCTACCGGCTGAAATCAACCTTTTGTCTAAGGATATAGGATTTAATCCTACGGATGCTACTCCTACCAGCTTTCTAGCTGGTCTTGAATCCATTATATTGTCCTCTGTCCTACCTGAAGACAAGCGCGCTGACATACCCAGCTGTGCCACTGGTATCCTCCGGCAAAAAAGAGACCAGCAAACTCTACCAGCTGAAGAGGCGCAAGGATTGCGAGCACTGAACTCGGACCACAGTATTGTTGTTGTTCCCGCCGACAAAGGTGGTGCTACCGTCATCATGGACAAAACTGACTACGTCAACAAGGCGAATATAATCTTCAGTGACACGGGTTCTTATACCATTCTCGCCAAAGACCCAACGAAAAAGCAAGCCGCAGCCATCAAGAAAAAGGTCACTGAGCTTGCTCGTCTGAAAGTTATAGGTCCAGATGACTCAAAGTTTATGACTCTCAGTGATCCCCATATCGCACCCGCGTAGTCCAACAGTTACAGGACAATCCTGTTAGTATCCCAGCGCAGCACATCATAGAACTGCTCAAACTATGCCTTAAGAACTATTGTAAGTTCGACAATAAGTACTACCAACAGGTGAAGGGAAGTCCAATGGGCTCCCCAATATCCGGCCTACTCGCCAAACTAGTGATACAGCGACTGGAACATGAGGTTTTTCAAACCCTCAACCCCAAAATGTGGCTCCGCTATGTCGACGACACCTTTGTCATAATAAAGAACCGCGAAGTCGGACGGCTACATCAGAGGCTGAATGATGTCTTTGCGGCCGTACCATTTACCCGCGAAGAGGCAGTAGGAGACAGTCTGTCGTTTCTGGACGTAAAAATACAAAGACTGGACGACGGTAATCTCGCAACCAGCGTCCATAGAAAAAGGTCTGATTCTGAGACCATCCCCAGTTATGGAAGCAATCACCCTGCAGCTCAGAAAAAAGCTGTGTCCGAACTCTCTTCCACCGGGCCTACCGCTATTGCAGCATTGACGATCTGCTGAAGAAAGAACTAGGTTATCTATATCGGCTATTTCGATCTAACGGATACCCGGTCACTTTTGTGAAGAACTGCCTCAGGCGTCAGGTGCAACCTCGAGGCCCCTCCTCAGATGGGGAAACCGTGACCCAGAAATTTTCCTCCCTGCCCTGTATGCAGGTGACCTCAGAAATCATCGCCCGTCAGCTAAATCAATTCGGTATCCGCGTTTCCCACAAGCTTGCATCCTCGCCGCGCACAGTCTTAGTTCGAGTAAAGGATTCTCTCCCCAAAGAGAAACAGACCAACGTCGTCTATCGCATCCCGTGTGCCAATTGTCCCTGCGTATATGTTAGTCATACAGGACGACGCCTGGGAACTTGTATTAATGAACACAAACTAGCTGGCCGTCGTCTTTTCACACGTACTCCAGTGCGAGCACCGTTTTAATTGGGATAACACCGAGGTCATCGCCACGGCCAACACAAAACGGGCGAGAGAATTCCTGGAGGCATGGCACTCTAACGCGGACAGCATCAACCGCCACGTTGATCTAGACGCCCATTATGAGGGCCTAAGATCACGCCTCACTAAGCCGAGCCCCACGCCGCATCAGCAGCCACTAATCCAGGCGTCCGCAGTTCTGCCAACCTACCATTCTCCCTCCCCTCCAACACGGGGAGCCGTATCTGTTCCCTCTCCCACCCCCTTCCTGCTCTCCCGTCTCAGAATCCAGCATGACTCCCTGCCCGCATCCCTCCTCACACGCTAATGGTCCGCCCGTCAATGTTTGTCCTGTCGCTTCTACGAGTCTAGTGTGACTGTCTCACTCACTTTTATCTTTATTTCGTCTGACGACGGGTTGGTGTCACCAATTCGAAAATTCACGAGTACACCTCGCTTTTTTTCCGAAGAACCTTTTCCATTTTCATATACATATATATCAGCAAGGAGGGGCGACGGATAATGCGGATAGACTGATACATTACTATTTCGTGCTTGTTTGCCTTCATGCAGCCAGTCATAACCCTGACCACCTGCTGGAACCGGAAACATAAACATGCGCACAGACGCACCAGGCGCAGCTGGTCATCGTTCCGAAGTTTATCAGTGTCTCGCAACCCGCCATTCCCCGTAACTGCAAATCGTGTATTTGTTCAATCAAGAATATATATATAATGGCAGGGGGCGCTCACCAATCGTTCTTACGGAACTCACTCGTTCTGTGGCGCTTACGGGCTCTCTCTCGAGCCCAACCAGCAGCCGCACAGCAACGCATAATATAGGCAGAATGGCAGTACCGACAAAGACAATGGAGACTGGAATGACCACTTCTGGCTCATTAGCTATTGTAGGCCAATCATATCCAACACCTTCAAGAAGTAGACACGATCGCTGGGACAAGAGCTTTATTAGCCTGACGTTTCGGAGTCCTGCTCGAAGCCATCATCAGAGAAAACAGCAAATACGGGTAGGTCATGCACAAGGGGCTGCAGTATTTATAGGAAGCAGTCGCCATGCTACCGCATACCTATGAATATTCACGGCTCCCCCCTTCATCCGGGATCGTTGCACTTGTTGTGCTGACTATTTGATGGCCGACATTGGCGTCGTTGATTGCTGCAATTTCATCACGTGCACTGAATGTTGTTGCGATGATTGCGCAACCATCTGACGCGCTGACCCGGGTGTTGGGAAAAGTGTTCACCTGTGCGCTCCCCGCGTGGCTAATTACTCCGTCTAGGCGTAGTCTCAGCACTGAGTATTTGATGGGAAGGTCATTGGACATGTTAATGGACTGGGGAGGAGGAAACCATACTTCAAGTAACTCTCGGCTCACCCGGTTGTCACCTTTTGCGAGAATTTCGGCCTCGTCGAACTCGAATGTGTAGCCGGATCTCGTCAAATGAGCCACATTTTGAGCGCTGGCGTCATTTCTCCGCACCGCTGCAGCGTATTTGGCCATTCTCGTTTGGACTTGTTTTCCGGTTTCTCCGACGTAGGTGCCTTGTTCTCAACTGCACCAGATCTGATAAACGACTGTAAACGTTTCTAGTCGTGGCAGCGGGTCTTTCGGTTTCATTACCAGACGCCTGATGGTTGATTCCGGTCTGTGTGCAACTCCAAACCCAAGTGGTGTGAGAGGGCGGTCGGCAGATTTCGAAACGTTCGTGACATACGGAAACTCCCGCCAAGACTTGGCATCACACCAACATACAGCGCAAGTGATGAAATTGCGACAATTAACGACGCGAATGTCGGCCCTCAAACAATTAGCACACCAAGTGCGACGATCCCGGATGGGGGGAGGAGATGTAAACGCTCGTAGATATGCGGTAGCATGGCGACTGCATCCTCTAAATACTGCAACACCTTGTGCATGAGTCACCCGTATCTGCTTTTGTCTCTGATGATGGGTCCAAGAAGGAATTTGAAACGTCAGGCTAATAAAACTCTTATCCCAGCAATCGTTTCTCCTTCTTCAATAATGCTTCCTGGGACTCGTCTCTTCGCTTCTATTGGCAATACCCAACACCCCCTACCATTGTTTATTCCCGATCGAAACCGACAGGACAACGGGCCCGTGGCCCAGTAGTTAGAGGCGTTGGACTTCTAGCTAACAGGTCGCGAGTCCGAGCCCCATGTGCTACACACTTCGGGGTTGGGCATGACTGGCGGAAGACGGCTAATAAGCCAGAAATGGCCATTCCAGTCTCTGCCTTTGTCGGTAATGCCATTCTGCCTATATATGTGCAGAGAAAGGGATGCAGGATGAAATACGCGTAAATTCATCCTATTCCGAACTTCAGCTTGTGTAACGGCGTCTTCCTGGCATGATCCTGCTCGGGCATATTCGTCCGCCGGAAATATTGATTTCATTCTTCTACGCAAAAGATTTGAAGAAAGCATGATGACATTAGAATTGCTTTTAAAACTAAGACATGGATTGTGACCGAGCGAATAGTCAGATAACTGTCCGGAACGGCTTAGTTACTCCAGTAAACATTCGTCGCTTAAAGAAAAATTGAGTTTCAATCTACGGTGACCAACCTCTTGAGAAGGCAGCGATATCGAAAATAAATCAAGGTGCCGAACGGCGTTTGCTTAACAATGACTGAAACAATTTCCATGCGGGTCGCACACGGATCCCTTTAAATTAGTTCAACCAGGTTATCCCACGAATCACAGCAAGCTCAGGACGATGGCTTCTGCATTTGAGGGGACTCGATTCCAGTCAACTGTACGGCCAAGGAGAAGGGAAACCGTTCAGCTTAATAATCATATATGTCATAAAGCGTCGTGATTTAGGGTGTAGGACTTTTTTTCGTAACATTGATGTATTCCGACCTGATTGGGGTGGTGAAGTCCTCCGCGTTTACATCAGCAGAACCCCCAAATCAACATGAGCAGACGCTTACCATCGTCAAAGGCGTGGTCTTGACAGTCTAGTGTGGCGTGGACGGCACATCAAAGAAAATATCAGCAAAATCCTGAAGACTGTCTTATTCCCACAAAATGAGCTCTCTGAACGTCTACGTCTTCTCCTCCAGCGTGAGACAATAAAGTTCTCTGTGAAAATAAAGTCTGAAATTTCATCGCATGTAAATTTTCTCTCAGGAACCGTTCCATGGACCCGAAACGCCAGGAACTGTAGCTGTCAGAGCGGTACTGCGGCTTTTGATAGATTTTTTTAAACTTAGGTCATTGTCTTGATGACAGAAGGGGTAAATGGCGAGTTCCACAAAAGTTGAAATATTGTTGTAACAAAAGGAACTAACTGCTCAGATAAAAATACTTATTGATGTCAGTTTATTTTCCTTCGACTGTTATTCTTTCGTAATGTATTATAGGGAAAACTGCGGTTCAGTTAACGAAATGTCGGGGTTGTTCGTGCCTGAAAAAGTACTCGGAAGGATGTTTCAGGGTCGACAAAGTGACCACTATTAAGTTAGTTTTTTGTAATGGACGAACTGAATTATATCTTTGCGTCGAATAAAGGATTGGAAGAAGATGTAATTTTCTACCTAATGAGCAAAAGAACGAATATTTTTATGCATGCTTTTTATGAAATATAACTGGACTTTTAGGAGCATCGAAAGTCAATGAGAAAAATTCATGTTGCATAAGTAGTCATTCGTTACAGAGTGTATTTCCTGTATGCAGTCTCATGGAAGTTCATTCGAAAGCCGGCATCCTGAGGTAACGGAAATATTATAGAATTATGCCGCATGACGATTAGTTTTGCAACCCTACTCAATTAATCTTTTCGAAACGAAGACGCATTTTGGAATTTCGGTTGACATTTCATGAGTTAGACCACCTACTGTAATGCTAGATCCACGAGCGTTAGGTTTATCAAGGTGAGGAGTGAATGAGTTCCCCACCGGTCGACAGTCTGATACACTCTGCTAACGGATGACTGACGTGGTATGCATGTCTTAACACATGCATTAGATGTTAACCGAAATTCTGTAATCCCTTTTTCGACTCGAAAAAT